CTGTCACCGCAGAACAGATGCCAATTCCCGTAACCCGTCAGGGTCAAAGCCGGATCAGGTGGCAACCCTGGGCGTGGCAGTGAAGAGGCCAGTCGAGATGGAACTGCACTGAGCACTCATTCATTCTCTACTGGACATCTATGAAAAAGAGCTTCATAGCTCATCGGATTCTTTCAGTAATAAACACTGAATCTCATTGTAGTGTCCGCAGTGGAATTCGGGTATTCTTCACGCTGCCCACTCTGCTGAGCGAGAAGTCACGGCGAATGCCGCCAGACGCGGCGACCGAACGTCGATCATCATCGATCTTCCGGTCTCCAGAGCAGCGAAAACAACAACAAGACACGCCAACGGCCCTCTGCAGGGCCAAACAACAACAATAACTACACGTCAGATAGGCCCCGGGACCACTTTTAGAAACATGTATCGAGGTTATTTAGATGATTATTTTTGCTATGAATGATGTCCACATGATGATCCACTTCGTTGAGCTATCATCGCACCCCCGATTAGCACGGTTGGCTACGTACGGTGCGAAAGAAGTTCAATATACTGTACATACATACATTTGTAGCGAGGTCGCTTCTGAAAAATAAGTGAATATCTCAGTTGGCTTTGCCTGGTAGGATGGGGATGATTTGGTGTTGTGTCTGTTTGTGTTTGGGCGCTTTGTTTGTCGCCCTGTACTTTGCACTCCCACCGTGTGTTAGTGTTGTTGTTGTCACGTTCTTACCCCGTGCCCCGACTGGACTTCTGTGAAATACAGAACTCATCGGATTCCTCCAGTAATAACTACAGATTCATATTCAGACCTGACAGTGGCATTGTAAGTTGCTCTGCATCGCCATCGTCAGCAGCCAGACGACGGCGACGAGAAGAAGAAGACGACTAATGTGGAGCGTTTATGTCCATCGCCTGGCGATCGAACGCATCCCTCGCCTCGCCACGTCAGAACCCAGACACCTCTCGCCGCCGATGTGAGCCCTGGTCGGGAATCAAACGCAGGTAGGAGCCGCACAGTGCGCCAACCACCGCGCCACCGCTCCTCCGCCCAGTTCGAAAGGATTGGTCCAGCGTAAGTGAACAGACACACCTTGTTCAGCTCAATGACAATTGCCATCAGCTGGGAAATTGCTCGCGGATAACGCTGCAAATGGTCACACGGGGGAGGGGCAGGGACGGATCAAGGCGTGGGGCCTTTACGGGCTGCAGTCCATGGGCCTCCGTCAGCTGGAACGCCTCCAGAGATGAAGTGAAAAGTTATTTATTCTATATTTGAAGCTTTCGTGACTTCAATGATTCATACTCTTAGTTCTTTCGGTAAAGTCACGTAGGTAAAAAATGAAATAAAAATTAATAAAAATAAAACAATAAAATCACGACGTTTCGGAGGCAACACAAGTCTCCGTCATCAGGTGGGACGGAGACTTGTGTTGCCTCCGAAACGTCGTGATTTTATTGTTTTATTTTTATTAATTTTAATTTAATGTTTTACCTACGTGACTTTACCGAAAGAACTACGAGTATAAAAAAGTTATTTAGTTTTGTGAACGCTGAATTTTATTTGTTGTAAGCCGTGTAGAAATACATTTTATTTTTCTTTAACTTTCTTTTCCTTTTGAAAATATTACTGCCCCCCCCCCCCAGTATCTGTAGCCCAGGGGCCGACAACATTCTTCACCCGGCCCTGGTGAGGAGGGGTGCCGAGTGAAAGCCGCCGCTCCGCGTCTGCCCTCTGTCGACACAGCTGTGCATGGCAGCGTCTCGGTGACTCACTCGCTTTTGTTTGCCCCAGGAAAGCCTCACTGATGAGTCTCAAGACTCTTTTTTTCCCCAAGAGGGGCGATGCTCCTGCTGCTGCTGCTGTTGTGTGTGATCCCGATTAGGTCATTTTTGTTTGTAGGTATTTATTCAGCATTAGGATGTTTGGCCAATACTATGTTACCCAAATGTAACGAACCGGTAGATGTGGAACTCTGCATGGATTGATAATTGATTAATAAGATATAATTCCCGTCAGGTCCCACGGTGTAGAGTGCAGTCGTCAACAATTAGTATCCATTCCTTCTCTCTGGCCTCTCTATTCAGGTGCTGTGAAGAAAGGAAATCGTCCGAAACGTCGGTATAAAACATTTATCATTAGAGATCATAGTCAGTTTAACGCGTAGGCTTTCACGACCAATATCATCCATGGCGAATTGGCACGTTCTGTTTACGTGACAACCCTTACTAGTTGGCTGTGTCTGGTGGTGGCGGGTTTTAACGACACTTTTATATATTTACGCGATCTAACCCAAAATATCTCTATTATGTTATATCATAGTGCCGCTATAATGTCAACATTTAACCACCGCAGCGTTCTTCATTGCCCCTCGACAATGGACAAACATTGCAGGCGGTTCATCTTCTTGGTTCTTTCGGTAAAGTCACGTAGAAGGGAAATAATAAAATAAAACATAATAAAATACAATTCTCACGACGTTTCGGCCAGAGACCTGTTCTTCACCTGAGGACGGCTGCTTGCGTTGTGGCCGAAACGTCGTGAGAATTGTATTTTATTATGTTTTTATTTTTTTATTTTATTATTTCCCTTCCACGTGACTTTACCGAAAGAACCAAGAAGATGAATCCCTGCAGTCACGAAAGCTTTAAATCGAATATATTCGCCCCATGACCTGCCGACTTGATGTGTTTGTCTCTGTGTCGGGTGGTGGAGAGTTCTTGTTGAAAGTCGGCACTATACCTCCAAGAAGATCTAACCAAACACAATCCCACGATGAGCCCCGCACACAGCAGGCCACAGAGGCTGCTGTCGATGTGGGGCACGGGCTGCCAGGTCGCGCACACCGCCACACTGGTGGAGGGGTCACGGACACGGGCGGCGTGGGGCTCTGCAAGGAGGCACACACGGCCGGTCTCCAAACAGATCAGTAGGCTGCGGCACCTCCGATTGGCACGGTTGGCTGCGTGCGGTGCGAAAGAAGTTCAACATAAGTACGTAGCGTGATAAAAATCGAAGGTTTAATCAAAAACGTGGTTTTCAATTTTACATGGTGGATGGAAACGTGTCGCGCGCACTGCTCCCCTGCCTCCAGCACTAAACGAGCGGAGCTTGTTCGAGCCATCGACTCACACAATTCGGGAAGTTCACATCCCAATGTGGAGGTTTCCAGTTCTACCCATCCCACCATCCCACACATTGCAGGAAGACAACAGTCGTTGGCCTATACTGCACCCACCCCCCCTCGTCCTGTTAGAGGAATGTGGAATTTCCACAACCATGCAGCCAACAACGACTAACCTTAAAATAACAACGATTTCAATTCGCATCTTGCCACCGCCGTACAACGTTTGCTTGCTGTGGGACAGCAAGAGGGTGAGAGGGAGAGAGGACGAAGAGGAGGCTTGCGAGGAGGAGCCACAGACGAGCGGGGAAAGCGGCAGCCACGCGACGAGCCGGCGCTCGCAACAATTGCCCACGCTCTGCGGTCCTCAATAAATGTGTGTGTTTATACATGCGGGAGGAACCCAGAGCACCCGGGGAGAACGCACGCACGCGTACGAGGGGACAGCGCTCCGTCTCTCACTTGAGAGAGGAGGTGGAGAGCACTCCCTGCGCGTTATCCCGCCATCTCCTGGCCAGCCAGGGTACACGGCTCTCGCCGTGCCCCACGGGAAGGGAGTTTCACGGCTGCGTGTGAGCCACCAAGTACAGGCGACGTACCCAGGTCATCTCAAAATGCGAATCCTACTTCGCGATAAACACGAACCCCGAGCCCAACGCTGACCTCCACCCTGTCATTGTCACTCCACGCTAAGCCCACAACACAGACACCATCTGGGTATACAAACCACGAACTATTTTAATTTATGTCTACCAGGTCAGACCCACTGAGCTGTACGGCTCTTTTTCAGAAGCGACCTGCCCATCACAAATGAAAGCTCAGCGAAGTGGCTGATCACGTGGAAATTTATAGCGGCCAAATACTCTAAGCGCACGTTTCTAAATGTGGAGAGAAACCCCGCAGGACCCGGAGGACAGAAACACGCTGATTTAAAACACTACGTAGAACCAGCGTCAGGGTAGGGATCGAACCCACGACCTCCTGTACACCAGGCGAGGTAGTTAACATCTCATCGCCACCGCAGTGATGATGATGAGAGAGAAAGACACAAACTCCAAATATACAGCAGACGTCAGGGTCGGGATCGAACCCACGACCTCCTGTGCACCAGGCGAGGTAGTCAACATCTCATCGCCACCGCAGTGATGATGATGATGAGAGAGAGACAAAAACTCCCAAGTGTACAGCAGGCGTCAGGGCCGCGATCGAACCCACGACCTCCTGTGCACCAGGCGAGGTAGTTAACATCTCCTAGCCACCGGTAGCGACACGAGCGCGTGATCCCCAGCGTCAACCGCGCCTCGAGGCGGAATTCCGCCCGGGCTGGGCTCGTCACGGGGCTGGGCTCGTCACGGGGCTGGGCTCGTCACGGGGCTGGGCTCGTCACCGGGCTGGGCTCGTCACCGAGCTGGGCTCGTCACGGGGCTGGGCTCGTCACGGGGCTGGGCTCGTCACCGGGCTGGGCTCGTCACAGGGCTCCCGGGACTGGCGTCTGGCCTTGGTGCTGAAACAACGCCATGCGTCTGACCCACCCGCGGCTGCGTGCGCGCTATCGCCCATTGATTAGAACACGGATTCGAATAAAACGGGGATGAGAACTCGATCAAAAAAAACCTGTGTGCGCGCAGCCTAGCGATGAAGTCTCCTGTACGGAGAGACTCGCCCCGTCATAGGAACGTGGAAAGTGCACCGCTGACCGACTCGGGTCTGTGACTCTGAGCCGGGCGCCGGATGCGTGAGGACGTCACGACGGCGCGTTCCGCTGTCGTGCGGGAGCCGTGCGGGAGTCGTGCCGGGAGTCCCGACGGGGTCACCGCGCCGTGCAGGCCGCCACCACTCGAGCGGGACACAGCGATTCCGCCTCCTCCTCCTCACCCCGTGCATGACGCGCCGATGATGCGCGCGCCCACACCGCAGTCGGGTCTCTCCTCCTCCTCCTCTGCCGCGCGCGGCGTCCTCCTCTCTCGCTCCGCTCGGCGGAACGCCGCCGGCCGCCTTGTCATGCTGCTCACGCCGACGCCGCTGCTGCTGTTACTGATGTCGACGCAGTCTTTGAGCGCTCTCGAGGGGGCTGCTGCTCCTGCTTCTGCTGCTCCTGCTGCTGCTCCTGCTGCTCCTGCTGCTGCTGCTGCTGCGTGGCCGCGGTCCTCTCGCCCCTTGAGTGCCGCGGCGGCCTGAAGCGTCGCGCGTGCCGACTGCGCATCTGTAGCGGCAGAGGTCAGAGAGGACGAGCGTTCTGGCAGAGCAAGACGAGAGGCTGACGCCAACTGCGGGAAAGAGAGAGCGAGAGAGAGGGGGAGAGAGGGAGAGAGAGAGCGAGAGAGAGAGGGGGAGAGCGAGAGAGAGGGGGGGAGAGCGAACGAGAGAGACACGATGGAGGAGAGGCGCAAGCCGTCGCTGGTGCTGTCCAGCCAGATGCCGGTGCAGGCGCTGGAGCGCTTCATCACGTCGGGCTACCGCAGCCCCGGCTACAGCGCGGCGCAGTGCCTGCGCTCCGCCTTCATGTGCACCAACGAGACGCTCAACTTCTGGACGCACTTCCTGCCGCTCTTCGTGTGTCTCGCCAAGTTCTGGCAGCTGCTGCTCTTGCAGCAGCAGCAGCAGGGCGACGCGCAGCAGCAGCTGTGGCCGCTGTGCGCGTACGCGATCGGAGTGTGCTTCGTGTTCACGTTCAGCAGCGTGGCGCACCTCTTCAACGCCATGTCGCTGCGCGTGCGCGACCTCTGCTACTACTTCGACTACGGCGCCGTGAGCATCTACGGGGCGGGCGCGTCCATCGCCTACTACCACTACGTGAACCCCAGCCTCAAGGTGCTCGACCGGGGCTTCATGTCCGAGTGGCTGCGGGAGCGCTCGCCGCGGCTGCTCGACCCGAACGCGCACGGCGTCTTCTGCGCCCTGCTCGACCGCCTCTTCAAGCCGCTGGCGTTCGCCTTCTCCGTCGTCTGCACCGTGGCCTGCTGCCTCAGCCGCCTCAAGCGATGCAAGCACCGCTACGCCATCCGCACGCTCGTCTTCCTCCTGCCGCAGACCCTGACGCTGCCCGTCACGGCCGACCTGCTCGTCTTCTGGCCCGACGTGCGTCACATCACCGCCGCATTCGCCGCCAACTTCGTGCGCCACTTCACGTGGCTCTTCCTGGCGGCGCTCTTCAACATCAGCAAGCTGCCCGAGCGCTGCCTGCCCGGCGCCTTCGACATCGTGGGCCACAGCCACCAGTGGTTCCACCTCTTCACCTTCCTCGCCATCCTCGACGAGATGTACATGATCGAGGAGGCCATGTCGGCACACCTCGGGGCCCTCCCGGGAGCCGCGCCCGACTTCGCGTCCACCGTGGGGTTCATGCTGGCGCTCATCGGCTGCACGTGGGCCATCATCTTCGTGTTCAGCAGGTTCACCGGGCGCCGGGCGGACGCCGGGGACAAGGACAAGTAGCCTCGTCGCATCGTCCTTGCGGCGTCGAGCACAACGAGCCCGCGCGTGTGTCTGTGTGTGTGTGTGTCACGTGTGTGTGTCTGTGTCACTTGTGCGTGTGTCTGTGTCACAACGAGCCCGCGCATGTCTCTGTGTGTGTGTGTGTCTGTGTCACTTGTGTGTATGTCACTTGTGTGTGTGTCTGTGTCACTTGTGTGTGTGTCTGTGTCACTTGTGTGTATGTCACTTGTGCGTGTGTCTGTGTCACTTGTGTGTGTGTGTCTGTCACTTGTGTGTGTGTCTGTGTCACTTGTGTGTGTGTCTGTGTGTCTGTCACGTGTGTGTGTGTCTGTGTCACTTGTGCGTGTGTCTGTGTGTGTGTCTGTGTCACTTGTGTGTGTGTCTGTGTGTCTGTCACGTGTGTGTGTGTCACGTGTGTGTGTGTGTCTGTCACTTGTGTGTGTGTGTCTGTGGGGAGCGGTAGTGTAGCGGTTAGCGTTACGCTGCGCTATGAACCTGGCGACCCGGGTTCTATTCCCGCTCACGACCAACACCAGTGACGATTATCTGAACCGGTCCCGGGCCTCCCCTAGGTCGACTCAGCCTCAAATGAGGACCTGATGCGGTGTGTAAACATGGCCACTGGGGAGACAAAGGCGGCCGGGCGTGGTGTTGGCCATTCACCCCCTCGTGTGCCGTGCCAGCCTTCTTAGGTGCGCGCTAACAGCACTTGCCCTTACAGTATGTTAAGGCTACATGGAGGATCTTTGTCTTTTTTGCGTGTGTTCTCCCATACACAAGCATGCGTGTTCTCCCTACCTCCCTGTCCCATAGAGTACACGAGCATGCGTGTTCTCCCCTACTCTCCCCTGCCATGAGTACACGGGCATGCGTGAGGTGCGTGTGTTCTCTCTCTCTCTCAGATGTGTCGAGTGGCCGGGAAAGTACCAAGGGTGCTTGACATTCACTGTCGTCATTACCCGATGTGTTTCATTCGTTTGTTAATTCACGCATTTTACCCGGATAGCCCCTTGGGATGGTTCCACCCTGGGTGCAGATGGTTCCACCCTGTACCCTGGGTGCAGATGGTTCCACCCTGTACCCTGGGTGCAGATGGTTCCGCCCTGTACCCTGGGTGCAGATGGTTCCACCCTGTACCCTGGGTGCAGATGGTTCCACCCTGAACCCTGGGTACAGATGGTTCCACCCTGTACCCTGGGTGCAGATGGTTCCACCCTGTACCCTGGGTGCAGATGGTTCCACCCTGTACCCTGGGTGCAGATGGTTCCACCCTGTACCCTGGGTACAGATGGTTCCACCCTGTACCCTGGGTGCAGATGGTTCCACCCTGTACCCTGGGTGCAGGGTGGAACCATCTCATCATCATTACGTTGCGCTCGGCCGAAAACCGGCAGATTGTCCACAGCAAGAGCCATAGTTGGCAGTGTCCACATCAAGAGGCATAGCTACAGCTGACAGATTGTCCATATCAAGAGTCATAGCTGGCAGATTGTACATATCAAGAGGCATAGCTGGCAGAGTGTTCATATCAAGAAGCATAGCTGGCAGATTGTCCATATCAAGAGTCATAGCTGGCAGATTGTCCATATCAAGAGGCATAGCTGGCAGATTGTCCATATCAAGAGGCATAGCTGGCAGAGTGTTCATATCAAGAAGCATAGCTACAGCTGGCAGATTGCCCATATCAAGAACCATAGCTGGCATATTGTCCATATCAAGAGGCATAGCCATAGCAGGCAAAACGTCCACAGCGATAGCTATTCTGATAAGTGACGTTACCGTTCGACGACCCGATTTTTACCGGGCTATGAAGTAATAGCAACCCCCAAGCAGACAGCATTGACGGCGTGCGGCTATGCTGTTGCATGAGAAACAGAGAGACAATAGCGATGTGTACAAGCTGTAGTGTAAGTAACAGCTGTGCTGGTATCAGCTGTACTGGTTACAGCTATAGCAATGTGTACCAGCTGTCGTGTTTGTAACAACTGTATTAGTACTAGCTGTACTGGTTACAGCTATGGCCATGTGTACCAGCTGTATTGGTATCAGCTGTACTGGTATTAGCTATGGCCATGTTTACCAGCTGTAATTGTGTGTGACAGCTGTAGTGTTGTGTGACAGCTGTTGTGGTGTGTGACAGCTGTAGTGTTGTGTGACAGCTGTGGTGTGACAGCTGTAGTGTTGTGTGACAGCTGTGGTGTGACAGCTGTAGTGTTGTGTGACAGCTGTAGTGTGACAGCTGTTGTGGTGTGTGTCAGCTGTAGTGTTGTGTGACAGCTGTGGTGTGACAGCTGTTGTGGTGTGTGTCAGCTGTAGTGTTGTGTGACAGCTGTTGTGGTGTGTGACAGCTGTAGTGTGACAGCTGTAGTGTTGTGTGACAGCTGTTGTGGTGTGTGACAGCTGTAGTGTGACAGCTGTAGTGGTGTGTGACAGCTGTAGTGTTGTGTGACAGCTGTTGTGGTGTGTGACAGCTGTAGTGTGACAGCTGTAGTGGTGTGTGACAGCTGTAGTGTTGTGTGACAGCTGTTGTGATGTGTGACAGCTGTAGTGTGACAGCTGTTGTGGTGTGTGACAGCTGTTGTGGTGTGTGTCAGCTGTAGTGTAACAGCTGTAGTGGTGTGTGACAGCTGTAGTGTAACAGCTGTAGTGGTGTGTGACAGCTGTAGTGGGGTGTGACAGCTGTAGTGTTGTGTGACAGCTGTAGTGGGGTGTGACAGCTGTAGTGTGACAGCTGTAGTGGGGTGTGTGACAGCTGTAGTGTGACAGCTGTAGTGGGGTGTGACAGCTGTAGTGTTGTGTGACAGCTGTAGTGGGGTGTGACAGCTGTAGTGTGACAGCTGTAGTGGTGTGTGACAGCTGTAGTGGGGTGTGACAGCTGTAGTGTTGTGTGACAGCTGTTGTGGTGTGTGTCAGCTGTAGTGTGACAGCTGTTGTGGTGTGTGACAGCTGTAGTGTGACAGCTGTTGTGGTGTGTGACAGCTGTAATGGGGTGTGCCAGCTGCAGTGTGACAGCTGTTGTGGTGTGTGTCAGCTGTAGTGTGACAGCTGTAGTGGGGTGTGTGACAGCTGTAGTGTGACAGCTGTAGTGTGACAGCTGTAGTGGGGTGTGACAGCTGTAGTGTGTAAGCTGTAGTGTGACAGCTGTTGTGGTGTGTGACAGCTGTAGTGGGGTGTGACAGCTGTAGTGTGTCAGCTGTAGTGTGACAGCTGTTGTGGTGTGTGACAGCTGTAGTGGGGTGTGACAGCTGTAGTGGTGACAGCTGTAGTGTGACAGCTGTTGTGGTGTGTGAAAGCTGTAGTGGGGTGTGACAGCTGTAGTGTGTCAGCTGTAGTGTGACAGCTGTTGTGGTGTGTGACAGCTGTAGTGTGACAGCTGTAGTGGTGTGTGACAGCTGTAGTGGGGTGTGACAGCTGTAGTGTGACAGATGTTGTGGTGTGTGTCAGCTGTAGTGTGACAGCTGTTGTGGTGTGTGACAGCTGGTGCGTGAGTGCGGTAGGCTAGCGGGTAGCGCTACGCTGCTGCGCTACGAACTCGGCCACCCGGGTTCGATTCCCGCTCACGGCCAACGCCGGTGACGATTATCTGAACCAGTTCTGGGCCTCCCCTAGGTCGACTCAGCCTCAAAATAAGTACCTGGTACGGTGTGTAAACATCGCCACTGGGGAGACAAAGGCAGTCGGGCGTGGTGCTGGCCAACCACCCCCTCGCGTGCCGTGCCGGCCTCTATAGGTGCTCGCTAACAGCACTTGCCCCAACGGTCTGTTAAAGGTTATACGGGGGATCTTTGTCTTTGTGGAAACATCAGCCCTGGGGGGGGGGGGGGGGGGTGGGAGCACAGCCAACCTCACCGTGTGCCGTGGCGCCCTCTTGATAGGTGCTCGCGAACAGCGCCTGCCCGAGACGCAGTGCGCTGGTATGGTGCACCCGTGTGCATGCGGATCACTGTTGGTATGATGCACCAGACACGATCAAGCTACGTCACACGGGGGGGGGGGGGGCGGGGGGTCCGGCAACCTGCATAAACAAGAAGCGCAAATATTTAGTTTGTCGAATTCGCTCAAACAAAAACAAAACACCCCATCAATATTTAAAGAGCCGGCGACGCCACGTGGTGAACACGAGACGGCGGTGGCAGTGCTCGACACGTGACGTGTCACGGAGCGGCGGTCCCTTCAAGAGCCACCGCGTGCGGATCCGGAGGGCCGCGGGTTGCCGACCCCTGACCTCCTCGGCGCGGAGGAATCCGAGTCGTTGACGTGTCCCGAGCGTTCTCTGGGATTCATAGCGACGCCGCGCAATGATGGTCCGCGTCGCGTTGGTGAATACAGACACCGGAATAGATCAACAGACGTGCTCGTCCTTCACGTGTCCGTGTCTCCACCACCACCATCATCACCATCAACAACACAACCACCGCCGGGTGTCCTTGATACAACCCAACGTCCTCCTGGGAGTGAATAATTGCAGCAGCAGCATTGATTCAGTGCAAGCAAACTCGTTTTTATTACGAGTGTGTTGTACGACCACACGTGGATAATAAACACTGTGTCACACAATTTTTGTTCCTGGGTAGGAAGTGTTATTTTTTAATTGCTTATGCCTAAAAAGTATAGAAAATTGATATTATTCCCCACCAACGTTGCTTTTGTGACCAGGACTTTACGTGAAGGAATGACACAAATGCACACCACGTTTTGTCATTGAAAATAGGAACATTTAAAAATATCACTGTCCTGGTCACAAAAGCAAAGTTTGTGGGGAATAAAAATAGCCACTTTCTGTACTTTTGAGGCATAAGCAATTAGAAAATAACACTTACTACCCAGGAAAAAAATGTTTTTGTTACACAGTGTAATGATTTGAATGTATTTGAGCATATAAAGACTCTTTCCAGGACAATTCTATGCATACTCGTCGACAGCACGGCACTAGGGGTCACGTGTCCCTGCGTGTGGCAGCAGTATTGCTGCTCTTCAAGGAGCCAGATGCCGATGTCCAGGTCAGCTGCTGGCCACAGCGAGAGGGCTTCAGGAGGGAGCTCCTTGGTGTCGCTCTGCCATTCTTCCTCCGTTGAAGGAAGCGCAAAACACCGTGGTTTTCGCCACATGGCACGTAGTTTGTATGTGCGTTCAACTTCTTTCGCACCGTACGTAGCCAATCGTGCTAATCGGAGATACGGGGGAAGGACAACAAACTAAACACAAAAAAACCGGTTCTAAATAAATTTGTTTTCAATCGAGATTTAAAAGTTGCAAGCTCCAGTGGTGGCTCCTAATATCGGAAGGGCGTTCCAGACGGCCCAATAAGCGCACTTGAGTTGCAGTGGACCGCCCTTGCTTGCTGGCAATCCAATAGACCCGTTGATGTGCCCCTGCGGTTGATGGCCACCGCCAGTGCCTTCGAGGAGGAATGTCAAAGGCAGGCGGTGTGCGATGTTTGGGTCACCAATGAGGCGTTTAGTGAACCGCAGTCAACGGAGTGAAACGGAACGCGCGCAAGGCCACGAGGCGTGCGTGTCGGGCTGTGACGTCACAAAGCACTCGGCGGCGGCCCAATCGCAGCCGCGCCCCCCCCCGCAGATCGGGGTCGCGGCGAGACGCGTGCATGGGGAGCGGTGGCACAGTGGTTAGCGCAACCGCGCTACGAACCAGGCGACTAGAGTTCGATTTCCGCTCACGACCAACGCCAGTGGCGAATATTCTAACCCGGTTACAGGGCCTCCTCTAGATCGACTCAGCCTTAACATCAGTACCTGGTGAGATATGTAAACATCAGCACTGGAGAGACAAAGGCGGCCGGGATTGCCTCTGACCTTCATATAGGTGCTCGCCAATAGCATCGCGCCGCGTTAGAGGATTTGCGAGTGAACTGCTGCTGTGACGTCTCAGCGGATTATGGACTCGCGCGCGTCGGTGTGCGTGTGGCAATCTGCCACGGCCCCACGCATCGCTACCGGAGCTGCCGCTGGTTCGCCTGCAGCTCCATCAACGCCTTCTGTTGTGTAACCGAGGGAGGATTAGAGCGGGTAA